TTTTATAACAATCAGGTCAGAATATAATTTTTAACAGCTTAAAACTAGCTTGGCTCATTAGTCCTTATTATTAAAATTCTTTTGAATACATCTTTCTCTAAAGGAGATAAAAACCATTGTTTGCTTAGGTCCCAGTATTTCAAGGAAAGAAATGGACAGGACACAACCCAATCATGTATACCAAGTGTTAATTTAATATCTCATCTTTAAGACAGCGGAAACAAATGGCAGGGAAATGTAAATTATGGCTTTGTTCCGGAACAAATTATTTAGCTAAATAACTCATCGCATTTTTCCTTTCGATTTCTCATTTGCCGCTAATATCTCATTTGCCGCATCCATGAGTTTTTGCGACGTTTTTCAAGGATCAATTCGTGTTTTTGGGACTTAGTTATACGTGCAACTAATAAGTAATCGCAACGTTCACTTAGCCGCGACTCGCGTAATTCGCCGAGAATACGTACTTGGGTTGTAACACATGGATTCTAGGAGAGTAAATTGTTGGCAATACGAAATCACAGTGATCGCGATGTAAAGTAAAAAAAAGAAAAAAACCATCCTCCACGTCTCGCTTGCTCTGATCCTTCGAGCGCAATAATTGCATATAACTCGCACATACGTTTATCCATCGGTGCGGTTCGGCCGCGCGTTCACGAGAACGTTAGATGAGGGGCGCAAGAGGGATCCTTGTGGTGCTTCCTGAGGAAACGTCCCTCCCTTTTTCTTTTCTTTTTTCCGTAACTAGAGACTCACACACGTGAGACGACGATGCTGACGATGGTGGCGGTCTTCCCTTTCCAAAAAGGGACGTAGGGATGTAAAACCAACTGCGGCAGATGTGAACCCTTGGCACGCGCCCTTCTGCTCCCTAGTGGTTCTCATGCTGACCCTCAACCTTCCGCTGGAGCAGTGATGCCTCGCTTGCTTCAACATCAATATCGTATAAACAGCCCGTTATTCTTTTTTAATTGATTAATAAATCATATATATTTAAATATATTTTTAAGTTTTAATAAACCATCGTTGAGTTCAATCGCTCGTGAAATGCGTTGCATCCATTTGTCAAGGTACATTTTATAGAATCAATATACTTGGCTCGTACCAATATCGTCGATATCGTCGGAGCCGATCTTAACGCTTAATCGTGCGAATCCGGTCGGCAACCAATATATTTCGCTTAAGCATCATCCGCACGTGTTCAGAAGCCAACTGTATCGAGTTACTTCCTGTGGCTGACATTGAAACGGTATACTTCACGTGTGAGAGTGATGGTTACCGATCCTTATTCTTTACGAGATTGGATATCGATCGATACGAAAATGACTGAAACGAGGAATGACACGCGAAACTTGCTTAAATTAATAGATTAATAAAACTTTAAAGAATTCGATTAGACGTTTTTGTGTACGTTAAAGCTGTACACATCAAATCGACGTAAAGATGTGCGTTTAATATAAATACAAACGGATTAAATCACAGAATTCCCTACTGAAAAAAATCATGTCACACAGTTGCATGATGAAATCACGTATTTAAAACATGTAAATCATGTAACGGATTGTTCCAAATCAGTATGTAATTTTTTGAAATTACATAATTTAAAAAGTTACATGATGATATGTTCTTTTTTTTCCTATTTCTATCATTCAATTCTTTAAAATTTGACAACTATAAAAGCACATGATGGATGAAATTATTTCTAATATCATATATGATTTTCAAATTACGTCATTTAAAAAATCATGTACTGATTTGGAACAATTCGTTACGTGATTTGTATGTTTTAATTACATGATTTCATTGTATAATGTCGTGACATGATTTTTTTCAGTAAGGTTTTTAATTTGATGTGCTATTCAGTAAAATACGTATTTTATAATACGATTTTCGCTTTTATACTCACAAGGAGAGGACACAGTGGACTCATAAGATTGCCACTTATACTTTGGAATTACTTTAGATTTTCCGATGGAGATAATGCAGAGATTTATATAATGAATTTGCCTAGAAGTGTACTTATATCTGTCGCGCGATAATATAAATGGAATTATAAGCTTTGTTTCAAGTATAATACAAAAGACATATACAATGTTTGAATTATTTAACGCCAGAGAAAACGAATATTATGGTTTTCGACAATAAGGATTTTAATCGTCTTGAATTAAATAAAATCAAACAATGGTCGAAAGCACAGCGCCTTTCAAACATATCGAGATAAATATAAGAGAACGCTGGAAATTCATTGAGCCATTGCCAGATTTTCATTTACCATTATTTAAAGTTATATTTATTGACTTCATCTTATGATATGATCGAAATCGATGCGTCCATCGTCAGTTGAGTCAATTCCCGCCGACGGGATTAATTGGCTCCTCCGAAACTAGTTTGGCCAGAAGGATCGCCGAGTGCGAAGAAACCAGGATTTGCTTTATAGCCTGCCGGTTTTATGACACTACGGCATGATTTACGGTCACCGACGTAAAGAAGCATCGTTCCTTGGGACAAATTGGAAAAATCATTTGATTACTTTTCGGGACAGGTGCGCGTGTCGTGGAAAGACATGACTCCGAACTTCTGCTTCTGTTTCCTCTTTCTCTCTTTGTGGTCTCACGATCGCTCGTAAATGGTATTCTCATCATGAGGCGTATATGTACTCACCGAGGGCCGGGCTACGCTGATTGTAGAGGTGCGACGTGCGGCCGTTTCAGTATTCATCTGGCGAAATTATTCGTCGTTCCCTTCCACCGCGCCGGATCTTATTTACGAGGAAGAAGAGGTATCGGTTCGGAAATCGCGTCGTCCTGGGAAAAACCGATGAAGCGACGCACCATGAGAAGTGCGCGAAGCATGAGAAGTGATTAATTCCTATCGACCGCACGTGCACACGCGTGAACGAATGATCGATACCGGGACACGATGGAACGATCGATCGTGTATTCTGCACGCGTGTTCCTGCACGGTGTCGATGCCCGAAATAAATCCGTCCTTAGATTTTTTTACGCGCAAACAAAATCCATGATAATAAAATCCACGACGACTCAAGAAATACGTAAAATCAACAAAAAATCAAAATGACTTTATTTTGATTTCTAACGTCAATAAAAATTAGTTTAACTTTTTTTTATAATGTCAAAATAAAATCAAAATAAACTTTGATTTTCTCTTGACTTATATAGTGTATTTTTTGGGGATCGAATTCGATTATACTTGAATGGAACGCATTGAAATTAAAAGCAAACTCAGATTTTAAGTCTCAAGACATGTGGATTATAGCTTTGTATATCTTTATCGACTCTAATTAAAAAATAACATAAAATATATGTAATAATTTTGCACTCAACAATATATCGGTGCTTGCTTATCCATTATTAAGAAACACATTGCAATACTGTAATCATTTCATCTTTGTTTAATATAGGCAAATATCAAAGATGTAATGATTCATTGTATTATATAAGGCCTGTTTTTTTTGGCTGAACTTTTGCACTAATTCATCTTTGTTCCTTTTCTGTCCAGCAGGAATATATACTGTATCATCTGTGTCTCTTGCTGGAAAGCATCCATAAATGTAATAGAATACATGGTGTTATACGTAACAGTTACATTGTTGAGTGCAAAATTATAACATTGATGTTATTATTTTATTTTCTATAGTCCAACCAGCGTATATTTTTCAAATTTAAACAGACATGTATATAATATTGGATATTTGGCGAAAGCAAGAAAGAGAGTTCTAAGTGCAGTCTACAATAGTGCAGGAATAAAAAACAGTAAACCTCGTGTCATTATCATTTAGGTATCTTCTTCTGTTTTTTAACCATAGCTTTTCAAAAGTTCGATGACGATCTTATATAAAAGTGAATAAGTAACATTAAAGCTTCCTGCACTTCACCTGTCGCGCGCGCGCTCGACAATATACACCTGCTACGTAATCGTGCTTCTTCCCGGCATCATCTGCTTCTCCAAGGTTTCAATATTCGATTGGCAGATGCGGATTAAGATGAATTAAAATGCGGTAATCGAGAGCCATACATGATTATGATATATATTTATTAATTTTCAACTTCGTTAACTTCACACATATTTGTGAAGTTTTTGGTAGATTTAAAAAATCTGGGGATATATTTTTCAGAAAAACAATACCCAGCGAGAAATGACAATAATGGAATCGATGCCGATTCCATTATCGTTTCTGACTGGGACAGGAATGTCAAGATTATTTGTACAGATGAAAACATATCTAAGATATTTTTGTTAATGAAATTTTGTTTAAAGCTGTGTACGTAAATAAGCGCACTCCAATAATAGTTCTGATATGCTATTCAAGTCTCGTGCATTGTACCGCGTGAGTAACGTGTGCCAGCATGCACAATGCATGTGTTGTTAAAACTTTGGGGAATTCCATCTATTTTTGGCAATGTAGAAAATTCTTGAAGAGTTGAGAGATATTCTTGGAAAAAAAGAAGTTCTTTGATAATAATATAGGAAATTTTTTTAAATTTGAAAAATATTCTTGGAATAAATAAATGCAATTATCTCTTTGCTGAATATATTTCCTACTAATTATATATAAAATTTGTTAGTAGTAATTGATACAACAATATATATAGATAGAATTCACAATTTACCAATTTATAGTCCGTGAAATCAGCAAATTTAACGATTGCAGACACAAACCAACAAAAATAAAAGTATCACAATAATAACAGGAAGTAGTTAATTATTAATTATATTCTCATTTCAAATATTTTTTAACTTGAATTTTTAGAAGCAAATAAAATTGATTGCACGAGACACGAATATACAAACTAAATTTAAGATATACCTATTGATTTACAAAAATAAGTATTTCTTGCGTAATTTGTTTCTTTAAATTTCAATTCTTTATTTGAACTTATATTTGCTATAAAAAATATAATTTTCTTTATTGTTGATTGTCGATAAATCATATTATAGATGATTTGCGAAATTTACTGCAGAGGTGCTTATAGCACTCCTACGTATTTCTACGCAATTTGGTATCGTATGAAATTGCTACAAAGTTGTGAAACTGCTAAGTTTTTTTTATAATTATTAAAAATGGGTAACTCTGCAACAAAAATAGAAGAGAAGCCGGAAGAAAAGAAGAAACTGAAACCTTGCTGCGCCTGTCCTGAAACTAAGAAAGTGAGAGACGCATGGTGTGTAACATTCTTTTTTAATCGCGAGTACAAAGTTGTGTTAGGTTAGAAATGGTGTTATATTTTGTTAATTGAACGGAAATTTTAAATTTATATTTTAATACAGCTGTTATCAATAGTTATGTATATTCCATTTTAAGGTTATGTTTAAAATTAATTCAAGAAAATTAACATTTATTTTTTTTGTGAAATACTATTTTATATTATAAAGTTATGTTTTATATTTTCAGTATCATAGAAAAGGGTGAGGAAAATTGCGGCGACCTCATAGAAGCGCATAAAACATGTATGCGATCAATGGGATTTAATATATAAAACATAGAAAAATAATTAATGTCTTAACACCAAAGATATCTTTGTCGTAAAGGACATATTCCACAAAGAATCTTGAGAAGTCTCAAGTTATAAGCATATTTACATACACATTTATGTATCTATGCCTTTGTAAATAATTTTCTTTTTAGACTTGATAAAAAATAAACTATTATGTTTATGAAGACTAAAAAAGTAATATAAATAAATTATTTTAAATGAGCTTCAAGAAACATAACGTAGACTGTTGTAATATAACTATGTAAGAAAAATAAAATTATAATCTTTTTCTTTATTAAGATTTATCAATCTAAGCTGATCCTCTCCTTTTGTGGTATCATTGGCATAGGATGAGAGAATAAGGAACGAAGTCATATTGGGAATTCTAACAAAGCATATATTTTAATTTGATGTGTGGCTAATGCAAAGGTTTTACTCTTGCATAACAATTCCACAGCTTGGTTTCCCTGAACACTCCAAATAATGAACAGATTCTTAAATCGATATATGGCGAAATCTCCAATACTATAATTGTAATTTATCATTTTTGACAATTTTTACAGCCAGTCAATAATGTTATTGCGACGTGGTCCTACTGGGTTGAAAGACAAACTTACATTTGACTGGTGCATCATAAATATCGAAGCTATAAAACAACGACGCAACGATCCCGCGAGGCATCACGCATCCTCATAGAATAGTCGCAAATATATTTTTAACTATAATAAATAGATCTTAGATATATATCAGTACAATTTATGAAATATGATAAGAGAGTAATAATAAGAATGTACTAACTCACATAACCGTCAAGTGTATAATATAAATAACAAGTAAATGGACTTTTTTTTCATCTATCTTCTCATTCACAGCATTGCGTTGGACTTACGAGCTATGACATAAGTAGCCTAAAGTCAATAGGATAATTAAATAGAATATTTGTAATTAATATGAAAGTAGTTGTACTTTATGTGTGGATAAGTGACGTACGATATAACGAAGAATGTGCAGATGTGTAATATATGTGTGGCGTATGTGTGTGTGTATGTGTGTGTATATAGTATATAATATATATAATATATATATGAAAATGCGATTTTTTGGTCACTTTTGCAGACACTCCAGATTCTTTTATAGAAACGTTTTAGCAATCAAAATGCGTCAAAGAATATCTCTTTCATATTGTTATATAAAACTTGTCGTAAGGTATGCACCGTACGGCTCTCGGCACTTTTTATATTGACTAAAAGTCGACAACGCTTTGATGGAAATCTTTGTCACAGATTGTAAGTTGTAGAACGAGACAAGTGCTGGGAACACCGCGTTGATTCTGGAGCGTTTCCAAGAGTGTATCCGTTAGATGTGAATGATTAGCGTCGTATTGATAACAGCATCACAGCTACGAAAAAGTCTCGTTTTCCAAGCTCTGCCACGGCTTTTTCGATGGTGCAACCGATCGGTACAAGACGATTGGTCGACTAAGGGTTAGCACAGCCTGTTCGGTGCGACGAAAATTGAGCAGAACATTTTGGACAAGAAATGACGATCGATTTAACACTATGTTCCCACGGGTCTTTCACCCCGCCTTGAATCTGATAATTCTCTTCGCAGAAATTTACGCGCACGACAAATTTTTATTTAAAATTAAGGATTTCTCCGTTCAGAAAAAGATTACGTACTCGTTTACAGCGACGCGACGAAGAGCCATCTTTTGATATTTAAATATTAGCTCCGCAAAATTGTTCACCGCGTCACAGGCTTCGCGCGGGCACAATGATTCAAGGAGTCAGTCCATCGTTAACGACTAGAGAGATGCAAGAATATATTGTTAAATAATACGAGATCTGCAACTATGTATAATATACTACAATGGAATAAGTCTGCTAGCGGTAGAAGAACATAGGACATCGCGGTCACGTAATTTCAAGGATATTGGATAAGATTGGTTTGAGGCAGTAGTCTATAGTCTTTGCCCGAGGCTTGATTATTTCTCGGACCAGCAACTCTCACCTGTCTTGAGGAACTCGCATTGATCGTAATACTTTACTTTGCTGAAAAAAAGAAATACGAGAAGTGAAATTAATGCGTCGTACGTATTGTTAATAAATAAAGAGACTATTTAAAGGCGCCTGTATGTATTACCTGATACTGCGCTTCTGTATCCATAGTACCGGTTACAGCCACAACTTGATACTGTCTGGCCTTCATTGCTGCGGTGGATTTCCGTACGAGCCTCATTGCTCCGGGCGCGCTACTCGTACTACTGAAATGCGCCATTTGCGGTGGGCTATGGCTCGGATCCAGCACCAGCATGGTTATTGAACCGTCTCTTAGCTGTTCCACGCCCATGATTGTTCTGCTGTGCCCTAAATTTATTTGAGTGTGTTAGCTTGGTTTTTAACTTCTGAAAAATATATGCGAAAAGAGAAACGCCTTGAGAAAAGAGAACTTACCTTGATGTTGAAGATAAAGAGGTGGCTTGAAGTCTTCGCATCTTTGAAAGTATTGCAAGACCCAATTGAACAATTCAGGATGACCGCCGTCTGCGCTGGTAGGTCTATGAAAGTCCACCAGTTGACACCTGTACGAAGTCAGGGAAAGAAAAGTGTGCGTCGTATGACTTGGCGACCAATCGCGTTCATGGAACTTACTTTATCCTCAAACTAGACAGCAGCGTGAATACCTCCGTGGCGCCGATCCACTTCCTAGTGTTAACGAGTTTACCGCCGAGTTGCTCCGCGCCCTGGATATCAAATCCCTGCGCCCACGCCCACTCGATCATCTTTTGCAATCTTGAGATCGATGGCATGGAGCTACGCAGGGGATTCTCCGTGGAACTGTTGCCGCCGGCACCGGAGCTCCACGCTTTGTAAACTAGATCGTTGTATCCTGTGTGCTGCAAGAGAGACGAGATTAGCATCTGCATATTTCTGTAACCGCAGCCCCAGCCCTTATCGCCGTAAGTCGATGCGTAATGGTCCACAGTGGAACACATCCAGGTATTCACTACATTACTGCAAGCCTGACTAATGGCTCGTACTTTCGGGACCAGCCCTGCAAGAGAATAAATAATGCCAAGTTTCTTGGATAAAGTTAGACACTTTTGCATAAAGGATATTATAAATCACACGTACCGCGCGTACAAGAACTGCCGTCGTCGATACCGCTACTCTCGGCGACTCTGAGCTCGATTTGTCTCTCGAAAAAATCAGCCACCGTCATTTCGCCAGCATACACAGCCCGCTGCATATTAGTGACACTCTGTTCTCTGAAGTTACCCTGATTGTCCATACCGTACTGCGCTCTCAGCATCTCGAATTCACGCTGTTCGCGTAGTTTCCTTACTTCCTTTTCTCTCCTCTCCATGTCCTTCGCTAACATACGGTCGGTCGACACGTCTGGCGTCACAGGCGACGGCGTGCTCTTCTTGTTGAAGTGCTCTTCGATGTGTGCCATTAGGTCGTCATTATTTTTAAATAATGTACTAAGACATACTGGACAGGCAGGCGTGGAGTCGCTACCGATAGTAGCTGTATCGGATTGTGAACTTGTTCCGTTTGCAGGGCTAAAAATAAATCATTATCGTTAAATAATTATCATAATTGTGCTACGATTAATTAACTATCATCTCTTAAATATATTGCACGTGAATGCGTACCTAAGTATATCTTTGTGCTCGATATTGACATGTAACTCAAGATCAGAAGAATTCGGAAAAGACGTAACGCAAAGGGGGCAGTTGAAGACTCCGTCCCGCGATGGCGGCGATTCCGGCGGGAAGGACGGCGAGGTGAGATCAAAGTGTTGGCGATTGATATGCTCTTCCAGCCTCAGTGGACTGTCGGAACTGTAGGGGCACATCGGGCACTCCTGCACTGGAAGTTTTGGGGAAGCGTGCGAGCGTAGTTGCAGATTTAGGCCTGAACGCAGCGGTGAACCTTGACCCGCTGCACCTTCTAACACTAAACAAGAAAGAATATGTTAATTTCCATTCACATTCTCAGATTGAATATAAGGTCTGTTCTTTTTAGCTAAACATCCTGCACAGTTCATCTTTCCTCCTCTTCTGTTCATATTACAGAAAAAAAAGAGGAAAGATGAATTATGCAAGTACCAAATAGTCAAATCTGCAGTCTTCTAACACTAAACAAGAAAGAATATGTTAATTTCCATTCACATTCTCAGATTGAATATAAGGCCTGTTCTTTTTAGCTAAACATCCTGCATAGTTCATCTTTCCTCCTCTTCATATTACAGAAAAAAAAGAGGAAAGATGAATTATGCAAGTACCAGATAGTCAAGTCTGCAGAAACAGATTTTGAGTAGAGTATGCTAATTTTTTATAGCAAAAGAGGGCAACAAATTTCATATAGAGTCTAATATCTAACAATGTCGACAAATTGCTATCAAAAATAGGACAAAGCCTGCTGCCAAATTACTCGTGCACATAGATCTTTCTCGGTTTTTGCTGACACAGCATATCAATAGATTATCGACAGATCCCAAGCTTAATGAGCTATATACACAGATGGCTATGAATCTGCAGTAGAAATATGATTAAATTTATCGCCAATCTGCTAGCAAATTACTAGTATATTTTGTTATCTAAAAAGTTCAACTAAAAAGGACAGACTTATAATCTGAACAGTATCCATTACCAGCATTGGCATTGTTACTGTTGTTATTGTTGTTATTGTTATTCACGTTGGAACTTGCTACTTGGACCGGCTTTCTCAACGACAGCTGCTGCTGTTGTTGCTGCTGTTGTTGCTGCTGCTTGATGCGCTGACTCATAGAGCTGCCCCAGCCGTTCTGCAGATGAGGTGGTCGCAGAGACATGGACGGCGAGAGCGCCCGACACTCGTCGCGTCTGTTGTGCTCATCCATCAGCGAATCATCGTCGATAAACGCCATCATATCATTCTCCGGGGTGCTGTAATATGTACAAGTAACAGCGTTAGCCGAACTCTCTCCATTAGGACCACCAGAGCAATAAAGCGTGCCAAACAATATTCATGCACGAGCGCGCACAGATACGAATGCCACAAGTATTGTCGACTTGTCGGAATACTTCATCCATATTACAAAGC